TATATATATATATATATATATATATATATATATATATATATATATATATATATATATATATATATCAGTAAAGGACGAAAATGCTCGTCATTTAATGGAATTCTTTAACTTCCGTAAGAAAAAGGAACCAATTTCGGATGTTTTTGCAATGGTCATCTTCTAATTTTGAAATCGTAGGGACGGAAAGTGTTGTTTTTAACATACCAAATTTGTAGTTTACTTTAAATACAATAATAAATTGCAAACCGTAAGAACGAAAACCATAGGTTTAAAAGCACGAGGATAAAAATCACTAGTTTTAACAAGCTATACGGATGAAAATCATAGTTAAAAAAGGGAGCCTAATTGCACCCTTATACATTGCTAAATGTACCACTATCTAGTACTTTTCTTATCTCACACATCAACATCGAAATCCACTTTTTACATTTTCAGTGCATAACTTGATCTGATTCTAAATTGCACATATCATAGAGCTGATCATTTGCGTGTTTGGGTCGGACAAAGACTGGGTTTAACCTATTTTTTGTCCAATGGGCTTAATATGGTAAAACCAAGCCCGTTTTTACAGGCTTGAAAACTCACTCACACCCGTCCTATAAACGGGTCGGGCTTGCCTACGGGCTAACAGACATAAAAATCTTATTATATTCTTATGAAAACAGAACTTATATAAAATCACAAGTTATGTAAAATAATTTAAAATACATAACAATTTGTCCAACTTAAAATTTGACGTAAATACATAACAATATGCATATTTTAGAAAAAAATTGTTTCACTAAACATGAAGTATTAATAAAAAAAATGACTAGATGAGATAATAAGGAACTGACCAATTAAGGTAATTATATTTTCAATTTTAATATTTTTAAATAATGTTATTATCATTAGTCATAATTAAGTAAGAATTTCCGAATTGATAAATATTAAGAATTTTCAATTTTATTTGTAAATTTTAATTATAAGAATATTAATGGGCCTGGCGGACTGTTCAAATATTTTTTTTTCCATTGTTCATGTCCGTCCATTAATTTTAACAAGTCAGTCCAGGTTCGTCCATTTCTTTGAGAATGGTAATCCATGCTAGGCATGGCAACGGGACGGGGGATGGGGAGGGTTTTGTAATCTCCGGCCCCGGTCCCCGGCGGGTACGGGGATTATCATCTCGTCTCCGGTCAAATTCTAGCAATCCCCGGTCAAAACCCGATAAACCCCGGTCAAACCCTGGTAAAAAGTATGCTTTAGTTTAATTATACCGAGGATCCCCGGCCCCGACTCCAGCCCCGTTTTGAGTAACATTCCCCGTCCCCGGTTTGAGTCTACCAGGGATCCCCGGCCCCGGGACCCGTTTTAGCGGGGAATCCCCGTCCCCGTTCGGGTCGGGTGAACCGGGTTCTCCACCGGGTCGGGGCAAATCACCATCCCTAATCCATGCCCGCTTTTCTAGCGGGCCGAATATGACGGGTCTAGCGGGTCATTCCGTCCGTGAACAACTCTAAAGTATCACGATTAAAATGAAAAAAAAAGTATAAAGTATTTATATATAAATTGTCCAAATTTGGAAAACAAGCGCATCTAGTGTAGTGGTATCATAGTACCCTCCCACGGTACTGACCGGGGTTCGATTCCCCGGATGCGCAATTTATTAAATTAATATTTCTTTTTTTATGAACTTACAAGTTTAGTCCCTGTGGTTATATAGGAATTATGGACTACGTCCCTCAAACAATAGAATTATATTTTTACTCTATTAAGGGGTTGTTTGCTTACCTCTTAATAATTTCATTAAAAGACAACTTTTGAATCTT